AGCAAAAATAAAGCTTTTGAAATAACGAATCGATCCATTTTTTGTTGATTACCGTAAATGTAATAGTAACCGAGTTATCTATCACTCTCTAAAGGTACTTGTTTATTTTTCGGAAAATAAAATCGAACCATTTACCGTAAAATAATGGCGAAAGAACTAATTTTTCAAAAAAATTAATACAACCTTTTTTAAAGTGCTTGGAAAGACCTTTAAAATGCTGATTGATAAAATTTCGTAGCTCAAAAACTCGCGGAGTTATGATGAAAATAAAATGGTCATCTCATTTTTTCGGAGAAATAATCAACAATAAAATCTATGGCTGAACCATAAAAATAGAAACTAAGCGTAATCCATGTACAGTTGATTTTTCTTAGGTACTAATAATAGGCTTTGCAAGTTTGACCGGTTTAGAATGCCTAGATTTAAAAAAAGTTTGAAATGAAAAAATTTTTAAATTTTCAAAAAAATTTCCTCGTTTTCGAAATAACTCAAAAACTATACAAGATACGTGAAAATGCAAGAGTTCAAAATTAAATGTCTTTTTTTTTAGTAATATTTTTGCTCTCTTTCAATTTTTCTGTAGAGCAAAAATTAACCGAGATATTACGTTTTTTAATTTGCATTTGCGTGTAAGGACCACCTTCTTTGAGCTCTTAAAACCTAAAAATCTCGAAAACGATGAGTTCAAGATCCTTCAACTATATAGGTTGATTTATAGCTCTTGCAATTCCCTGCAAATTGCTTTTTGAAGCGATGAAAAATATTAAAAATTAAAAAAGTTATCGTGAAAAACGAATTGTATTAAGTCAGTGAAAATTGTTGGTGGACTCTATTGTAATGCGACATGCGAAACATGCCAAAATTGCCCTCCGATCGCGGACCGAACAGAGAAGTCGACACTGATGATAGTTCTTTAGATGATACCTATATAAATTTTTGATAATAAAGTATAATTGTATAATACACAGATAATTTTTATTTTCCCGTTCACTAATTACATGATTTAAATTTCGAGTTTTAAGTAATCTTGTTGAATTTAGTAATGTAGTCTTTCATTCATTATAAATGTTATGAACATGTGAAAAAAATTGTTTCATTTTCTGCAATAAGGGCGGTTTTTAAGAGTTGGAACATTGCAATAAATCATGTATTATTTCATAAACAGTAAAAAATATTCAATTCTTCATTATTGCTCCGTCAAAACATTTCAGAGCCGCGAAAACTAATTTTTGTTTTTTTTCCCCATAAAGGGTGGATTTTAAGGGTTGAAATGTTGCTACAAATCAAAAATTATTATTCAAAACATAAAAGAATGCTTATTCTATTGACACAACGCTTAAATCTATGGTTTTTACGTTTTTTGCAAGAAGAGGTAGTTTTCACCCCCTAAAAACAATAAGCACACATTATGGATATGTAACTTTTGTAAAGGGGGGTGAAATGAGCTTACTCACCAATTTTCATGAAAATCGGTGCGTGTCAAGAATTCGGAGGTTATACCCTATTTTTACCGTTGTATACTGGACTAATAAATCTCTCCTCCAGTTTTAACCAATTAGACCAAGCAAATTAAATTTTTACTCGAAAAAAGTCCTATCCGCGATATTGTAAAATTATCTAAAGGAACATAACACAAGACATCTCTCGTCTCGTGAGTCAAAAACTTTTATTAGCTAACTTTTCTTTTTAAACAAATAAGTGAGGAAAACAGTTTTTTCACTTTGCAGGGAAAACCATCAATTTTAGCGAAAAGTGACTCACATGGAGTAAAATTGTCTACAAAATGAGACTTGTTAAATTAAAATCGGTTAATAAACAAAAAAGTTATTGCAAAAAAAACAGAAAAGTGCCCATTTTTTAATTTGTTTATAACTATCGCATTTATTGTTAAAATTTTATAAAACCTATGACAAGTTGAGGGTTTTGTCATACTTTAAAAGTGTGCCAAAAGTGGGCGCTGTAGGTGCAATAGTTTTCGCACAATTCTATTTGTTTATAGCGGAGGCTCCAAAAGTTATGAACTTTAAGCCTCTGTACAGACGTTAATTTTCAATCAAACATGATTCTGAAAGCGTCATTGTAATCTTAAAGACGCAATTAAGCGACCTATTAAAAAATATCACCGTTTTTTTGACATTAACATTCTCAAATTGTGCATTAAAAAACCGTGCGTTTTTCGCTTATAAACAATTTGAATAACATTGTTGCTATTTATGCTATCTCACCGAAAATAGATGCAATGGATAGCTGGCAAAAAAATACAGTTTTAAAATAAAAAAAGTACCCTCTACGACCAACAGGAGCCAAGATAAGAATCTTTTTTTAAAAAATCGTAGCGCAATTGTTTATAAATATTAAGACTTGAATTTTTCGCAAAATAAAGTTTACGACGTAAACTACGATTTCCCGTGAATTGCATTGAAAAATGTGGAAAATTAACGACTCACGAGCCCTTTAAAGAGAAGGTACTCGCTAAGTAAACTGTCCGGCGTGATGATGGGGGAAGCTCGTCCAATCGAGTCGCGCGCGCGAAAAAAGTGAAATCCTATTCATCGTAGAAACTTTTTTTTTTTAAACTGGGGTAGCTCGACGAAAAAATAACAATGGGCATATTTACGAATTCGTAGAATAGCCCTGAACCCCAGAAAAAATGCATCTTTTATAATTAATTTTTTTTAATTTACAAAAATGTCACAAAAATTATTGTTAAACGAAATATTAATTAAAATTTCAATTTCGGAATTATTTTACTATTATTAAATAAATAAATGAAGCTATCGTTCATTTAAAAAGTTATTTTTTTTACATATTAAGGCAAAGTAAACTTGTTTTTTCAATATTTTGTTAGCTATTTAATTACGATTTAAATGTAAAATTAAAGTAAAAATTCACAAATTATTTTCAAATTATTATTTATTGTTAAAAGATTTAAAAAAGAATAAAAAGCATTTGAATTTATTGCAAAATTCTCAAAATTAAAAAATATTAAAAATAACGCGGTCGATAAAATTACAATTTTAACTTCCTGAAATTTTAATATATAAAGTTTTTTTATTATATTTATTACTAATTTTATACAAAAAAATTTTTGCAACATAATCAAAATTAATTCAAAAAATATTAATCACAACCATTTTCAATAATAGATATAAATAATGCAATATAATACAATTTAAAATTTAAAATTTTTTCTATTTTTATGAGAAATAATAATTTGAAAATAATTTATGAATTTTTACTTTAATTTTACATTTAAATCGTAATTAAATAGCTAACAAAATATTGAAAAAACAAGTTTACTTTGCCTTAATATGTAAAAAAAATAACTTTTTAAATGAACGATAGCTTCATTTATTTATTTAATAATAGTAAAATAATTCCGAAATTGAAATTTTAATTAATATTTCGTTTAACAATAATTTTTGTGACATTTTTGTAAATTAAAAAAAATTAAGTATAAAAGATGCATTTTTTCTGGGGTTCAGGGCTATTCTACGAATTCGTAAATATGCCCATTGTTATTTTTTCGTCGAGCTACCCCAGTTTAAAAAAAAAATAAGTTTCTACGATGAATAGAAGCCGAGATATAGCAAAATTTAGAGCGCGCACCTATTTAAACTTTGGATTTAACTTTTCTCGCCAGCGCTACCGCTTGGACGAGCTTCCCCCACCACCACGCCGCCGGCCGCCGGACAGTTTACTTAGCGAGTACCTTCTCTTTAAAGGGCTCGTGAGTCGTTAATTTTCCACATTTTTCAATGCAATTCACGGGAAATCGTAGTTTACGTCGTAAACTTTATTTTGCGAAAAATTCAAGTCTTAATGTTTATAAACAATTGCGCTACGAATTTTTAAAAAAAAATTCTTATCTTGGCTCCTGTTGGTCGTAGAGGGTACTTTTTTTATTTTAAAACTGTATTTTTTTGCCAGCTATCCATTGCATCTATTTTCGGTGAGATAGCATAAATAGCAACAATGTTATTCAAATTGTTTATAAGCGAAAAACGCACGGTTTTTTAATGCACAATTTGAGAATGTTAATGTCAAAAAAACGGTGATATTTTTTAATAGGTCGCTTAATTACGTCTTTAAGATTACAATGACGCTTTCAGAATCATGTTTGGTTGAAAATTAACGCCTGTACAGAGGCTTAAAGTTCATAACTTTTGGAGCCTCCGCTATAAACAAATAGAATTGTGCGAAAACTATTGCACCTACAGCGCCCACTTTTGGCATACTTTTAAAGTATGACAAAACCCTCAACTTGTCATAGGTTTTAAAAAATTTTAACAATAAATGCGATAGTTATAAACAAATTAAAAAATGGGCACTTTTCTTGTTTTTTGCAATAACTTTATTGTTTATTAACTTATTTTAATTTAACAAGTCTCATTTTGTAGATAATTTTACTCCCTATACCTATAAGGTGTCTGTCAGTCACTTTTCGCTAAAATTAATATTTTCCCTGCAAAGTGAAAAAACCGTTTTCCTCACTTAAATTAGCTAAAAAAAGTTTTTGACTCACGAGACGAAAGATGCCTTGTGTTATGTTCCTTTAGACAATTTTACAATAATCTCGCGTATAGGACTTTTTTCGAGTTTCTCTTTTAGTTTCGCTAATTTTCCTGGTGTAAATTAGAAGAATCAAAATGCGGTGTAACATGATCTTACTTTCGAACACCATAACAGAATTTTAGACAAGCATTTTGTAATTTCTGGAGGCTGTTTTCGTCTTTAACAGTAAGTGCTGGCCAGTACAGAATATTGCTAGAGTTGAGAGAATTAATGTGTCAGTCAGTTTAAGTTTAATTTCAACTGATAGATAATCTTTATGCATGTAGAGCATTTTGAGTTTATAATAACACTTTTGTAATAAATGTGCTACAGTGTCTCGTACCTTAGACGAGAATCGACATATACACCCATATTTTTTACGTCGTGGAAAGTAGATCAACTCCAAAAAAAAAAGTTTATTTACAATGAACCATTCCTGTTTGCAGTTCCGGATAATGGAAGAGGACCGAGTCGCTTTCTCCGACGAGACAAGATCGAAGCTAGAAAAACAGCGGGGGATCATCCAAAGCTTGAGGAACGAGAAGCAGAAGGTCCTAGAGGACATCACGGTGGCCACCTGCGCTAACCAAAAAAGGAAAGATCTGAAGCTCACCAATCACATCTATAAGCTGCTGGAGGATTACGACAGGTACTGTAGGTTAGTCGAGGAAGAAAAGGACAACATGGGGGAGCTTGAGGTCCAGATAAAAAAGGTATGTAAGGGACTGAACTTAACTGCGGTTCCCAAATAATGTAATGTGCCGTTTGTTTCGCATAGCGTTCAGATTCCATCGTTACCCGAGCCTGTTTCTATCTTTGTTTATCGTACACAAAAAGAAAGACAACTGATATTGCATAGTTTGATTACTTGAAATACCGTCTTGCTTCAGTTTCCAGTTAAGGCGTGTCGGTGCTTGTCATAACCGTACAAGTGGGAAAAACGTGTTGTTATTCTAGTTGTTCCAATAAGTGTTGTGTGCTATAACAGGACGCACAATGCTATTTGTAGACAGATGAAGTCCTAAGCATTGATCAGTGAAGATCATTAACATAAATGAACTACAACCATATAATTATGAAATTAATAATCCTAAATCTAAGGACCAAAAGTTAAATGTCGCTATCCATAAATATTTATCGCTAACATTTGTAGCCTACAAAAGTAAAAATTCTTAATTGTTAACTCAAATAAACAGGTTTTTCTTTTTAATGCAACACTTAAGAAAAATTGTAGCCATCTACAGATATGTATCGCTTTCTACTAAAAGTTATGTACCAAAATTATTCGCTGTCTACCTGAGTTTGTCGCTATCTACCAAAACTTATCGCTGTCTACGTGAGTTTGTTGCTAGTTACTAAAAAATTTATTGCTATATACCGAAATTTATCGCTGTCTACCTGAGTTTGTCAATATCTACTAAAATTTATCGCTATATACCGAAATTTATCGCTAATATTTGTAGTCTACAAATATAAAAATTTCAATAAAATAAAGAGAATTCTAGAAAGAAGATTTTGTTTCATACAGCAATTAAACAAAGTTAAGTAAATTATAGCAATTTACCGAAATTTATCGCTATCTATCGATTATTGTATCTATCTAACAAAATTTATCGCTAATAGTTGTAGCTCACAAAAGTAAAAATTGTAAAGTAAAAAAAATAAAGAAATTAGTTCAATAAACAAGTTTTTTTTAATACACCAGTTAAAGTTAAGTAAATTGTAGCAATTTACCATAATTTACCGCTCTCCATAAATATGTATCGCTACCCACGGAAATTTATCGCTAACATTTGTAGCCTACAAAATTAAAAATTCTAAATTGTTAATTCAAATAAACAAGTTTTTCTTTTTAATGCAACACTTAAGAAAAATTGTAGCCATCTACAGATATGTATCGCTTTCTACTAAAAGTTATGTACCAAAATTATTCGCTGTCTACCTGAGTTTGTCGCTATCTACCAAAACTTATCGCTGTCTACGTGAGTTTGTTGCTAGTTACTAAAAAATTTATTGCTATATACCGAAATTTATCGCTGTCTACCTAAGTTTGTCACTATCTACCAAAATTTATCGCTATATGCCAAAATTTATCGCTGATTACCTGAGCTTGTCGCTATCTATTAAAAAATTTATTGCTGTCTATGTGGGTTTGTCGCTAGCTACTCATAAATTTATTGCCATATACCGAAATTTATCGGTCTACGAGTTTGTTGTTAACTACTAAAAAATTTATTACTATGTACCATAATTTATCGCTGTCTACCTGAGTTTGTTGCTATCTACCAAAATTTATCGCTATGTACTATAATTTATCGCTGTCTACCTGAGTTAGTCGCTATCTACCAAAATTTATCGATATGTACCATAACTTATCGCTGTCTACCCGAGTCTGTCGCTATCTACTGAAACTTTGAAAGCATTTCTAACGATATACCTACCGGGTAAGTGGAATGGAACTGAATGTTACTATGCGATGGGGCGTCAGTTTAACGCTTCATTTTACGGGTGGTGACGTGAAACACATTAAAACTAATATTTTCCCAATATTTATATTAAAACAAAACAACAATTCTTTAACAATCAACCATTGTATAAAGTAACAAATAATCAATTATTCGCGAATATATAAATGCAGTCTTACCTCCGTCACTTTGCTTGTTTCTTCCCCCGTTTCTTGTTCGCTGCGTGCCGCGACAGGTGCATCTTCAAGCTGTTCCGGTACTTCGTCTTGAAGGCACACTTCGCGCAGTGCAGCATCGTCACGTCCTCCTCCTTTCTGTGCTTGAGCTTGTGTTCGTTCACCCGCCACAACGTGGTCGCTCTAAAACCGCACTCTTCACAGACCACGTTCTTGGGCTTCTTCTCGTGGTGCGCGTTCTTGCAGTGCTCCCTGAGGAGGTGCTTCTGGCACGTCGTGTACTCGCACAGACGGCAATCGAAGGACGTCTTCGCCTCGAACTTAACCACGACGTCGTGCTTGGTCCTGTTGTGCACCTTGAAGTAACTTTTATTCGTGGTCGTGAAATCGCAGTACTGGCACCGGTGGCACGGCGAGGATTCAGGATTGTGGCGCTTTCCGTGACGTTTCAGGTGCTTCTTGTACCGCGTCTTATAGTGGCAGAACTGACATTGGTACGTCTGTACGTCCTCCTCGTGCAGCCACAGGTGCTGGTTGAGGCTTGATCGCCATTTGCTGGTGAAATCGCACTTGTTGCACTTGAACTCGGGCGCGGCGTTTTGGTGGGTCAGCAGGTGGAGGGCGAGGCTGTCTCTGCGGTTCGTCTCGTGCGGGCAGTGGGGACACGCGTATGTGCCGTTTGAATTTTTTGTGACGGTCTGTTTAGTTGCATCGAAATCTTCCTCGGTTTCCTCTTTCACGGGATGTTGGTTGAGGAGTACAGCTCTAAAAAAAAAAAAATAAACAGACGACTTTAATCGATATAAATAATTTTATCCGTATACTAGATACTGCAAGTATTTAGTAGGTCATTATTTGCCAGTAGGTACAATTAACAGTAGGTCAAAAGTAATAATTCGTTCAGTAGGTACAAAGCAATGATTTGTGACAGTAGGTACAGATATTTTTGTTAGTAGGTACAAAGTAATGCTTTAGGTCAGTAGGCGTTGAGTAGCAAACAACATTAAAACATTGCTTGTGAAATTGATAAAATGATAAGTACAAAATAAATTATGTTCTACAAGAATATGACGCAAAATTATAGTTCTATTAAAGAAAAAATCTGATGACTGCACACATACGAGACGAGTCAAATCATCAATCTCGTAATGTATCTTACTACACAAAACTTCTTATTTAAATAACTCCTCTTTATTCGTAGATAAATAAATAAATTTTCTGTCCAAAACTGATTTTTTTAAGATGTACTACAAATGATCATTTGCCAGTAATAGTCCAGGCGATATCTGTTTTAAAAAGGGTATACTTGGGTAAAACGCATATGATCGGAGATTTTTGCTTTAACGGCTTCTAAATAACATCAGAAATGATAATTTTTCTATGCAAATAAAAAAAACGTGGGCGTAATTATTATTGTAAAAAAGTATATAAAAATAGCAAAAAAATTCATTTTTTTTCTTGGATTTCTCGTCGACAACTTAACTATTCCTTTTAGACAAAAATGGAAGCGTAAAAAAAGTTTTGTAATTAAATTTTGAACAAGATAGAGTTAGTTGCCATTCGAAAAAATAATTATTGTTATTGAGAAAATCGGAGAAATCATTTAAAAAATTGCAAAAAATGCTAGTTCATTTGTCAATTTTTTTCAGACACTTGAATAATACCTAGGATCTTCATATTTTTCCCAATTAAACTTCTTAGTGCATAGAATCATCACACCAAATTTCATCCAATTCGGTTCGATAGTTTTTACATAATAATTGTTTAAATTTTTTTTTTAATTAAAAAATTTTCAAAATCAAATTTCTGAAAATCTAAAGGCTTTGAATACTTGAAAATTTCACCACAAAAAGAAGAGCGCTCAAGCTTTAAAATGCTTTCTGAAAAATTCAAATCGGACTACTAGGTGAGCCGTGGTGATTGTTTAAACATTTTCGCAATTTTCACGCTTATAAACAATTGCAATAATTGAATGTCTTTTAAATTTTTTTATTACTTTAAAATATTGTTTGAAAGTACTCGGAAAGACGAGTATTTAAAAAAAACCTGATGATCTGCCCATTATTTTCGGAGTTATAGCCTGTTAAAGTTAACCCTTATTTACAGCAAAACTATAAGGTTATAAGGGCTGTTTTTTGAACTAATAGATTTGTCATTCCGGGTACTTTCCCGATATAAATTTTCAAAATTTGCAATCTCGAGCGTCCCATTTAAAATGTCACTCAAAGATATTCAAGACCGCGTGAAATCAATGAAATATCAGTGGTGGGGGGAGCAAACACACAGCTACTCCGATCTGAATTCTCGAATTCAAAACTGCGACACTCGGAAAAATTTCACTTATCTGAGGACCAGTTTCGATGATTTTTTTTTAAATCGACTCGCAACTTCAAAAATTCAATTATCATATTTTCAACTACCTTTTATTATTAATTATTGGACTTTTTACATGCTGATAAACAGTTACTTTAAAAAATGATTAATTTATTATGTTTATTTATTTACTATGTTAATATTCACGACCAATATTTTTGCATGTTGCACCAGGTAATACTAGTAAGTTTCTTTAAATATTATAAAATTGTTTAAACAATAATTAATTAAATAAACAACTGAAAATTGGTATTAATTTTTAGTTGTACAATAAATTTCTAAAAATCTTTCAAAAAAAATAAATTGTGAATAATTATAATTTTAATTTTTTCGTTTACTTTTAAAATATTGATCTAAAATTAATTTTTTATTTATATAAAAAAGTATAAGAATCTTTTGGATACTTGAATAGACAGTACACACTTTTCATGATTTTTCAAATTTTGAACTATTTATTTCAATTTTTATTTACATTTAATCTAATGTAATTTTTTTACTAGTTGGTGATTTTTCACATACCTCATCAGTATTATCACAATCTATTTCGTCGTCGATTTCCTCGTCCTGCAACTGCAAAATATCATTTTCTAAAGACTCTGAAATCTGATCGTCGAGTTCACTTGCACTTTCTTCTGACATGTCTTCTTCAAAATCCATTTCGAACTCGTCTACTTCCACTGTTTTGTAAGCATTTTTACACATTTGCCCTTGGCAATAGGTGCAATACTCAGAGCATTTTTGAACTCGAGAATTCAGATCAGAGTAGTTATCTGTTTGTTCCCCTCACCATTGATATTTCATTGATTTCACGCGGTCTTGAATATCTTTGAGTGAAATTTTAAATGGGACGCCCGTGATTGCAAATTTTGAAAATTTATATCTGGAAAGTAATCGAAACGACAAACCTATTAGTTCAAAAAACAGCCCTTATATCCTTATAGTTTTGCTGTAAATAAGGGTTAACTTTAACGGGCTATAACTCCGAAAATAATGGGCGGATCAGCAGGTTTTTTTTTAAATACTCGTCTTTCCGAGTACTTTCAAACCATATTTTGAAGTAAAAAAAAATTTAAAGCATTAAATTATTGCAATTGTTTATAAGCATGAAAATTGCGAAAATGTTTAAACAATCACCACAGCATCGTCCGATTTGAATTTTTCAAAAATCATTTTAAAGCTTGAGAGCTCTTCTTTTTGTGGTGAAATTTTCAAAAATTCAAAGGCTTTCGATTTTTAGAAATTTGATTTTGAAAATTTTTTAATTAAAAGAAAAAATTTAAACAATTATTATGTAAAAACTATCGAACCGAATTGGATGAAATTTGGTGTGATGATTTTATACACTAACAAGTTTAATTGGGAAAAGTATGAAGATCCTAGGTATCATTCAAGTGTTTGAAAAAAATTGACAAATAAACTACCATTTTTTGCAATTTTTAAATGATTTTTCCGATTTCTGCAACAATAATTATTTTTTCGAATTGCAACTAACTCTTATCTTGTTCAAAATTTAATTACAAAACTTTTTTTCCTTTTCCATTTTTCTCTAAAACGAATAGTTGCTAAGTTGTCGACGAGAAATCTAAGAAAAAAATGAATTTTTTTGCAATTTTTTTAAACTTTTTTGCAATAACAATTAAGCCCAGGATTTTTTTTATTTGCATAGAAAAATTATCATTTCCGATGTTATTTAGGAGCCGTTAAAACAAAAATCTCGGCTCATATGAGTTTTACCCAACCCGAAACAGATATGCCTGGACTATAAATATCAAAACGACACTTACGGATATACTGTAGAACTTTCGTCCTTCAAAAACAAGTCCTCTTCCACTTTAATCTGAATTTCACTATGTTCGATACCGTCCCAAACGGCCTCCTCATTTTCTTCTTTCACTTTAACCTGAGAAAGATCGATTTCAGCCTCATTTTTCACATTCCGAGTAAATTCCAAGACATCCCGCAAGTCGACACCGGTATTGTTGTTGGTTATGGTCGCATACGATACGTAATCGTTTATTTTGTCGTTCGTATCGAGGAGCGTTGATACGAGATTGAACTGATTTTGCAAGGCATGCATACAGTTTTGGCACATTAAAGGACTCTGCGTGTTATCCAAATTCTAAAAGTAACACCAATAAGGAACTCACACGATTGGTTATAAACCTCACACTTACAATTTCCGGCAAACATTTCTCGATCATGTCGCCTAAGAAGAAATCGTCGTCGATTCGACCCAGATCCGTGAAAAAACTACCCTCAAAATATCCGAAACACAACCTACACGCAGATTCTCCTTCTACCTTGATTCCTTGCTCACTTATCTTGTGTATTATCTCTTGCAATATCAGCTTGACTCCGCTGTCGTACCGAAAGGTTTTCAAATACATCTCGTTGTTCAGACAAGTGGTTTTAAAATCGAAAGACGTCTGAAGACTTCCAGAACAATTATCACATAATGCTGATTTATTGTTTACTTGTAGATCCTAAAATGTTTGATATATACATAAAGCATTTTAGATAGACAGTAAGTGAACTTACCGAAGATGGTGAGATCAACTTCAGCATTTTCAATCTGGTTTCATCGAGTTCTATGTGGATGTTATTGGAGGCCAAACCAAGGCATATGCGGCAAATTTTCGTGTTTTCAGTCATAATATATATTAATTTTCAAATTATTTGAATGACAGCAACCTTTCATTAAAAGGTTTGAAAACTTTGAGGTTAATAATTCTTAACTGTTGTTCTTCTTCTTCTTTTGTAGACCTTAATAAATTATATAATATTAGAAGAAGAAGAAATATTAATAATTGAACTACCACTATCGGCTAGTAGGCCTGCAAAGCTACAGACTTCAATTTTTTAAAACAATTTTGTTTATATAACCTTAATTAGATAAAAGATATCTTTTTGTAATTTGTTTCCAGTTAGAGCAGCAGATTAGAACCCTGAGACCGAAATCTGCCGTAACTGACGAAGTGTACCAGAACCGCCTGACTTCAGGGCAGCAGGCCATCAAGACGCTTCAAAACAGACTGGACAATGCCGTAAAGAAGTTTTGCTCCCTCTTAACGGAGAACAAGAATCTCAGGGACGACATAGACCACCTCCTGAAAGAAATGTGGGTCAAAATTATTATTTCATCGTTAACTTATTAAAAAGTGTCTACGAATACTAAGATTTGATTTTATGAACATTTTTAGGAACCACTACAACTTGGTGTGGGAGAAGTTGATAAAAGACTTCAATTCTGGGAAAAAGTACATGGTAGATTTGATAGAACAGGCGACTTTGGCGTTTGATCAACGAGAAGAATGGTGTTCCAAGCTGGAGGCTTTGAAAAAGAGGGCCCAGTACGATTTCATAGCACACTCGGAGGTAAGGATGGAAATACGTTTACTTTGTACATTTTTTTTCGATATAAACGAATTTATTTTTTAAGGAAATGCGCGAGGTACAAAGACAACTAGACCACGACCTAACGCTGAGGGAATTTTTGATAGTGAAGGGTCAGCGGCGCATCCTGAGAGACTTGGAAGAGAAAGAAAGGAAGAAGAAGGAATTTGAGGCACAGAACCTGGAAAACCAGCTACGTCTGTACGAGGACACGCTAACGCAGATCAAGGTGCGTATTAAATATTGTCGATTCTTTTGTCAGTAACGATTGTTTATTATTTTTTAGCGATTTTGCCAGGAGGAAGACATCCAGCGCATCGCCTCCCAATTCGTCAAGCAAGAAGAGGAGAACTTTGCGCTTTTCAATTACGTCAACGAACTGAATCACGAAATAGAATCGCTCAACGCCACCCTGACGGACTTGAAGGAAAAAATTGGTATGAATGTATACGTAGCGTGAAGGTTGTGCGTACTTAAGCTTTAATTATAGACGAACAAGTGGAGTTGAGTCAAGTCCGGGCCAAAGAACGCCAGGCGACCGTGAAATCGCTGGAATACGACTTGAGCGAAGCCACGAAAAAGGTAAACATTGTGACTTTTGGTACTTTTTAAACAACTTTTTTTAGGCCGATGTGGATGAAGATGCCGTGCGGGCAGCAAAGAAAGAATTGGAAGACGTCTTGAGTGGGATAGAAGACATTTTCACTATCCTCAGCTGCGATAAAGCCCCCATCTTGGAGCTATTAGGCGACAGCTCGGGGATAAATTTATACAACATGAAAATATATTTGGGCACCATCGAAAAACGCCTATCGGCGTTGATAACGAAAGTTTACTTTGCGGAAAAAGCGGTGAGTAATTCGTAACAAAGTGTCAAACTTGATTATATTTGTGAAACACGCAAAAAACTTGACGATAACACTTTTTGTAGATGTTGACTCAGACGAAGAAGTTTCAACAGGAAAACATAACGGATTGCATCTAAAAAAACTTCTAATGTGACTTTTCGTAATGTACAATCTATATTTTCGACAGTTCATACCGTTATGTAGATTAGGGGTATAGTCTAGACGGTATCTGTTTCAAAAAGTGCACATTTGGGTGAATCGTATATCCACGGAGATTTTTGGCTTCTTCAAATGAAAACTTTTCTATGGGCATAAAAAAAAACGTGGACTTAATTAACTTTTGGCGGCAAAATATGTTAAAAAAAATTGAAAAATGTCATATTTTTCTTCCTATTTAATTATGTATCTTTTGAAGAGTTGATTTTAGGGCGAAAATGGAAGAGGAAAAAAATGTTTGATTAAAGGCTCTACAAAATATGACTATACTCGACGGCCAAAAATATAGATAGTGATTCATACATAATATAGAAACACTATTACCGTAGTGTATAATAAAATGATTTTTATAACGGTTCAATATTATTTGCTTATGTTAAATGATGTGCCGCTCTCTTTGCACATCGATAGGATCTATAACAGTCATAGACTGAGTTACACTGAACGCGATTTATTTCCTATCTCTGTCTATCGCACTTATTACAGATAGGGAAATGCTCTTTTTAGTGGGTGTAAACGGACGTACGTAGAATTCGAGTTAGCCGTAGTTAGAAACGTCAAACTATAAGCGCGCGCGAGGGTTTGCATATTCCGTGACTATAGTAAATTTATAAATTAAAAAAATACAATCGGGACGTTTTAAAACGTAGGAATAATAATTAAAATGGATCAAAGTGCCGGTTGTAGCAAACGGTCTGTTGCTCATAAACGCCCTAACCTATGCGATGCGGAATTAATAATGGTAAAAAACGTGTATAAAGGAATTCGGTCGCGAAATTCTAATACAAGTGTAAGTGAAGCTGTTGATATGTGTAGTTCGTTGACAAAAGTATCCGTTGCTACTGTTTATCGTGCCATAAAAAATAGTGTAGAAGTGAATCCAAAGAAGAAAAAAGTGGAAACACGAGGGAGGAAGAAAATAGAAGTCGACGTTGACGTGAAATACTCCATACGTAGGAAAATTCATGGATTTTTCTTTAGAAATGAAATACCAACGATAAAGAAAATTCAAGCTGCAATAGCTGAAGATGAGGATATTCCTAATTTCTCTGATAAGGTTCTTAGAAGAATAATGCGTGACATGAATTTTCGATATTTGAAACGGAATCGGAATAGTATGCTCGTTGAAAAAGACGAAATTGTGGTATGGCGAAGAGAATACTTAGAAAAAATAAGAGAACTTCGTGCATCTGGTAAGAAGATATATTACATGGATGAAACATGGGTAA